TCTGACGCCACAGGTACAACTGAAAGTGCATGACACGACGTTATAATCGGTACTTGATACACCAAATCAATCATCTGTTAATTTGTCATAACTTGAAGCGATAACTTTGACTGTAATCGAAATCAGCAAATTGGGGATCATCTTAAATGTAAATTCGTCCAGTTATGACCAAAGCGTCGTGACTGTAATGGTAAATGTAGGTCTTGCCGTACAAAAGGAAATCAATTTCGCCATCATCACCCTTGAAAATTCTCACGTTTAATTTAATTACGGAGTGGTAAAATTTGAAATATCGATATTTTGGCTCTTTTCGAAAAGGTGGAAGTGTTTACTGCTTAGTTAATCATAATGCATCTTGGGCAAAAAACAAAAACTATGTATTTTGGTCATCTCCGAGAAAATGGCAAAAGCATTTCATAAAGTTTTACAACTCTGAGTTGCACATCTTAATATGGCACAATTTTTTTCATTGTTTCCTTTTAGTGATGGTGAAAATAGCAAACATTAAAATATCTCGGAAAAAAAGTTGATAGCAACAATCCCATAGCTCACCAACTTAAACTAAAGTGTAAAGGTAAATCTATATTAAACTAAATATAAATCTAAAATTTCCGGCTGCAATTTCTGGAGAACCAACTCAAAGAATGAGAAAATTCCTCTATTAATTGGTTAAAATTTCTAGACAGTTTAAAATAGAAACCTGTCCCGTCTTCAACTTTAAATATTGAATAAAACAATATAAATTGTCGTCATTTACCTAAGGAGTAAGGACCGTTTTTTATGAATACTGAATTAGTGCGAATTATTTCTCGAGATCATATTATTGATATGTCCGCCGACGCCTGACGGTGAACACTGACGGAGCATGTGATCGCTGCGAAATAATTTTGATATTCACAGACTTCTTTCTTTCGTTGAACCCTCGAACCCTGCAAACTCATGATGTTATGGCACTCAATTCTAACGAATTTTATTTGTAGCTTTAGCGTGCAAGGAATCTTATAGTACTAATTATACAAAAATGTTCGCTATGGAGTATGGCGGAGCCTTTAACTGAAATGGTAGCTTTTTCTTATTCAAAAGTTGGCCTGTAAGTTCTCTCACCATTCCCGGCTCAGACATTCCTAACAAATTACAGCAATCACATTTCAAATTTAAACATTTTAAGTCAAATTATACTGATCACCTCGGCATAATAAATATATAATAATAATGGCTGAGAAAATGTAGTCATTACATCTCAGTTCCGAAATTCAATGTCAACAACGTTACTGTGGAGTGTGGAACAATTGAAGCAAAAATCCTTATTGAAATATATACTAATCCTGATAATTTCAAAACACACATAATATTTAGTAACATGCCGCACAATAAAACAACCAAGACCGAAAAATATTATTTGTAAAACAATCATTTATCGTAGAACGGAATAATTTTATACTAATAGTCAAAACGTACAACGACGAGAAAATACCATGATCTCATCCCATCGCAACAATTTACTTGACCTGGATAATATTAGTTCGCTAAAAACGTGACTCCTAAACAAGTAAAGAACAGCGGTTTTTTACCAAGAAGTTTCCGGAAAACAGGACAGTTAAATATGAAGATGAGCCGCGATAACTAGAAAAGGGCGGAAGCTCCAGGATTGAATTTGATCTTGCAGATGTTATTGAAAGCTTTATGTCATCAAAAGCCTCGATTTATTGAGATTACTAGAGTATATGAAGACAGTATTCATATACTCTACTAATCTCTAGTAATCTCAATAAATCCAAGCTTCTGACATACGTATTCATTGAACACGTTATATAAGTGTATGCTTACTGCTTCAGACGGTCAGTTTGACTTTCTACCATCTGATAGAACTATGGTATCTGGCCAACAATCAGGAAGACTAAAATGATACGAGGATGAACTGATTATCAACTGATCATTAACAAAGCTTACAGAATTTGTGAGTCATACGATCGTGTCTGTCACGAGCGTAACGAAACAGGAAAAAAAGTAAAACAGAAATGGAAAGATGTTGCAGCATTTACAAGTCTTTAAACTACTGGTGTTAAAATCCACCGTGTAATGTGTATTTATTACTTATAGGGATTAGGGTCTCATACTTCACTCACTTATAAGCGAAATCTCAACTCAGCAATAAAAAATTGTAACGAGCAAGCCATCAAATAGTAGAGAAATTAACAACGCAGGTAGTCATGATTCTCAGTACGTAGTATCTTCTTACTCCAGCTCCCAAGGTTACGAGAGTAGACAGTCCGTCTAACTACAAATACAATGAAAGTAATAATTAAAGTAATAATTAAAGTAATAATTAAAGTAATACCCCAGTACCTATAATTATCGATAACTGACAGCTTAACTTCTTCCTTGGACCGTTATTATATAGGGGGCGAGGCAATAATAGCCAATAGGTATCACGTATACTTCGGAACGTCCGCATGCTGTCTAAGCTGTAGTTAGTGAATGGACAGGTGTTTGGTGGCCGGAGTTGTGGGAGTCGTAATTATAATTCCCAAATCGTATATAAATATTACATTTATAATATGAATTTGTAAAACCTGCAACTGTCGTTGGAGTGCTGTAAATATAAATTCATAAGAACCCCTCCTTGTATTGTGTCAACTGAGCTGCAGTTTGTTTATTAGTATTAACGCAAAGGATGACTCTAATATTATAGTACTGGCCAACTGAAGAGCAGTTATTTTTGGGACAGAGGCAGAGCGGCACGCCCGGCCCCCTCTCCTGACTCCTCCCTGCCCTACCCCTACCCTCCTCTACACTGTTTGTAGAGGCCGGAGTTAGGGTAAGGAGAAAATTGTCGGAAAGCTATATAAATATGTAACTTTAATGCTATCTTTAGTTTATGCTATTCTGGGCATTGGACTTAGCGACCCATTTATCGACTAACCATCTAATATAACTTTGATAATATTAATATAGGGTATTGTCACGTCCGTTCCTACCTTCTAGTCGGCTTCGAGCTACCGCTAGATCTCGCTCATGCCAAGATATCGAGTATATCCTCTGCCTTAAGTGCCAACGTACGCTTCCGTAGATACACTAGATAGCGATCAATAGAACTTTAAATTATTGACGCTTGTTTCCAGCCCACCCAAACAGATGATTTAAGTTCACCCGGCCCGTGTTAGAGCCAGGAGTTCGAGTAGGATGATTGTCTTTTACAAGCCCAACTAATCATATCACGGCACCTTTATTTATCCGTTTATATAGCACCACTCCTTCCCTAATTCATGCACATTGAATCATTGCCGTCTCCCGCATTTTATATAGTTTTGGAACTGGGTCCTGATCGTGATTCGTACCTACTAGCACATTTTACTATTTTATTTATGAAAATGGGCCTACTGGCAACTGGTTCGATTAAGATACCGGTTGAAGATCCTGCTCGGCCGATCAAGTTAACGGATGTATCATGTATTCGTATCTCCTCTCGATGCTGAAACTTTCTTTATAAGCCATCTAAGTACACCACTTGTACAGCTGCAAATTGTTGATCATGAGTACTAGCCATGCGAAGAATAACTCATTCGGATGAAAGTGAGGGTTTTGGACATTATCGTTAAAACCTTGAGAATGAGACGATGTGGTCTGGGGAGCAGGGGTTACGAAAATTGAGAGGCTTTGTAGAGTCAAAATGATGAAATCTGTGTGAAGACCAAACTTCGTGATCAAAAGACGAAACTTTCATCCATGTTGTTTCAAACGAGTCAAGTCGATATTCTTATTTTCCTTAATCTGCAATCAATCACTTTTTGTCATATGTCGCAGGTGTAACTGGCCAAAATAAATAATAAATAAATTAAAATATTTTTGTCACACTGCGAACAAACAACATTTGTTTTCATCATATTTAACGCGCAGCGCGTTCCAAATACGTATAAAATTCAGTGCAACCGTATGCCAGTTGAAACTGACTGTCAAGCAATGAAGCAATAGCGACAGTCGAATATCTATTCAACTGTCCAATGTATACTAGACAGAGACAGCCTACGTTCAAGCATGACACCATGAATAAATATCTTAACATAGCACCGAAGAAGAAGCTGGAGTAATCGCACCAGAATTGCATGAGGACAGATAAGATCGGAATTTTCTTCTCGACGAAATTTAAATATATCGAGAGAATGGTTGTCCTTTTATAACATGTAGATTAATTATACAGATGATGTAAGCTCCCTATCCTGCTTGATTTTCGATCGAACGAGATACCTCAAACATTTATACAAATCTATATTATCTAGGCTGGCCAATACTATCTGTAACAACTAACAAGCATTGGTAAACTTAAAATCTCTTGATAAAGAACTATAGCATTATGAAGTTGGCTGCTGCAGTTTTATCCATTATTACAGACTAAGGGACATAGTATCAGCTATTGTTGTTATCTTGAGACAGACGGTGAAGAAGGAAGGGTTGCGTCATATGCTGGAGTATTGGCAATTTTAACTTCATCCATTGTATAGGGCTCCAATGTTTGGAGGAACTGCAGATATCATAACACTGACTCTCATTTTCAGAGCGAACTTCCAATAATACAGGATATAGTCGGAAGATGACCCCTATGGAGACAGTAGCATCTTAAGTCACATTGTGGCAACGTTCAGCGTGATGCAGCAGACGACGACAACAACGACTGTCAAAACAGTATACCAATAATATGAATAAGGAATTAATCTAGAGACTCTTAGATCTGGAGACTATTGCAGACTCCTAGAACTGGAGAAACTTACATTTATAAATTCCTAGAACTAGAGACTCTTGGATCTAGAGGCTCCTAGATCTAGGGACTCGTTTTCAGAGAGATTTGGGATGCTGTCAATTGTGGGATTGTTTTTGGTAAAGCGTGCAATGAGGAAAGTGTACTAGGAAAGTGTACTAGGAAAGTGTACTAGGAAAGTGTTTCCTTCATGGAAATTCAGGAAACATAAAATGAAATTGCAGAACAAGAAATGAAATGGTGATGATTTCGGTGAACAAATAAATCTGAATAATTTATATATCTTGGATCAAACAACTCACAAATGAAAGTGATATCAAGTTCGGTACAGCCGAAGGTTTTATGTTGCAAAAGCAGGGCGGGTCCGCTCCGTTATGTGTGAACTGATACCGGTGCGACGGTAGCAATCACTAAGAATTAATGCCACAGAAACGATCTGTCTACCAAAATTACCGCTTATGAAATAAATGCATTTGCTCAAAGTAAATCATTATAACCTTTATAGCCGGAATCCCACACATATTTTTAAAATAAATAACTTAACACCAACATGATTTGACATTCGAAGCTTTTACGGCTTTTGGTGATTCCACTCAGATAAGAATGAGTTGTAAACGGAAATAAGAAGTAAGTTCGTGTCAGACAATTAGCTTTGACAAAAATAACGATCTGATATCACAGAAATGAAATAATGAAATTTTAACGCCACCAGGATTCAAATCAAGACAATACAACATGAGTAAGCAACATGTTAAAATAAAACATACTTCTCAAATTTAGACTTTTAGTAAATCAGTACTTCAGCATGATGTTTTTTGTATCATGTTTTTAGTCGCCGGGAAAATTCACAGTTTTAAAACGATGTGTTAATTGTCCGAATAGCAATCATAGCTATTTTTTAATAAAATCATTTGTAATTTCCACAAAGGAAAGTCCAGCAGGTCGTTACCTATTACTCCCCGAACAGACATCAGTAAACTACCGCCACTTCCAACTGACATACTAGCATTCTTCACAAATATACAAATACAAAGATCTAAATACAAACCCCCGAAACCTTCCAACAACACTCTCACTATAATATCTTTTCTCGCCACAATTTGATAGTCTAGTTTACTGAGTAGATCAGTTCTGATCACGTTCTGACCACGTGACAATGCTTGTTAGGGCTTTCTTTTCTCCAGAAATGTTGTCGGGCTCATCTACATCCAAATGTCATACTATTGTATGGAACACATTGCACTGCGCTGCTGATTGCTGGCTGCGGACCGGGGCGGCTCGAGGTTGGAATATTTCACGATCTCAGCACGGACAACCGTCTGCTGGCTTTCAACTTCTTGTTTGGTAAGTTTGAAGCCTAACACTTGGGCTGCAACCTTTTGAAAACACAGGGAAACCTGAAAATATGTGTTCACTCACTAGAATAATCTCAGATGGGAATTCCTCGAGCATACCAAACTAAGGCAGGGGCATTTTAAAAAGACTTGTTAGGTTTTTTATCAATTAGGAATCCAAAAACGTCAAGGAAATATTGGCTTGACTCATTTGCAAATTCTCAAGTCTGATACTTTCATGAGTTCCCATGAAGCCTCCTCTATGGTTTCAGAAATCGTAGTGGTTACAGACATATTTACATATTTACATATAAAGGGGATTCGCTCTCAGCGTTAACTGATATCATCAACTCTGATAACTAAATTGAAAATTCACAACTACATATTTACAACTGTTCATCAAGGCTGAAGCCCAGCTAATGTGTCAGCAAGAAGCCCAATTAGTAGTGTCATAAAATGAACTCAGCATGTAGATTTTAGATTCATGACTCAAGTTCGCCAGAAATCATCCCTGTCGAATTTCGGTCGGTGTCGAAATATATTCAAGGTAGCGTACTTGATATCTAGTTCGACAAATATTTTCGCGCTGTCTCAATTTAAATTCACGCCAAACACTTGAGGTGCTGCAATTGTTTAAAACCGCATGTCTGGTAAATCCATTTGATAATGTTTTATTTGTTCTATAATTTACACATCTTATTCGTTTCATCACTTTCATACTTTCATTTGTTATATATTAGTCATTTGTTATGAAATTAAATATCCGTGAACCATTAAATAATATATTTGAAGATCAGTAGTACCTGGTCATCAGTTCTCGCTGAAATAAAATGGGATGACATGTTGTGTTCTGTTGCAAACTTTTGATGTCTGTCATTCTTCACCGCACGCAGGTGGTCCAAGTCGACTGAAATTTGTCAGTTATTTATATCATATTGTATCGGGAAGTTTGAGTGAAGGGTAAGAAGTTGGATTATCAGGCCCGACCATCTCTGAATTGGCTAAAATAGCAGAAATAATTTCCCCTTTAAATCCAAACTCAATTAAAAGTTACATTGTGAACTGTAAACAACTTTTTCGGTAAGTTTCTGCAGCTAGGTACACAACTCACCTTTGTTACCAACGAGAGCCAAAGCAGGAAGCTTTTGTCCGCAAGTTTTCTTGATAATAGCCAACCAATCTTCTAAGTTGTCAAAACTTTGGGCATTTGTAATATCATAAACCAACAGCACTGCCTGTTACATTAATCAAGTTAAGGGTTATATAATATATATAATATATAATTATATGTACCGATTGTATGTACCGATCTAACTTTCATTAGAAGATGAGAATAACTCGGTGTCATTTCTTTACGATTTATCCTCAGACACTTACGTGGGCCCCGTAAATGTAGTTGTTAAGCATGGCCCCTCCCAGAGTCTGGCCGCCAATGTCCCAAACTTGTAACGCAACATGTGTCTCTCCCGGCAGAACTAGCCTCTTTAAAAAGAAATCAACCCCCAACGTCTGCTTATACTCCTTACCGAAGGAGCTTTGGGCATATCTTGTTGCTATGGATGTCTGGTAAATAAAGAGATGTTATATAGTGGAAAAGAAACAAAAGACTTCCAGGAAATTGTTCTTTATTTGGAATACAGGAACATTCCAAGTATCCCAACGAAATTAGTTGGTAACTCATTAGTTGACAAGCCATTAGCAAGCAGGTTTCCCAACGAAATTGTTTGGTAACTCATTAGTTGACAAACCATTAGCATGCTTCGTAGGAGCATCGAGTAAAGATATGACGAGACAGTTCAGTATTAATTAGTTGTGTGACGATAGTGAGCATTACTGGATATCTATCTTTTAAATTGCTATGCTTTAAGTACGGAAGCGGACAGTAAAAAGTCATTCATTTAAATTTTCGGGCATTTGCTTATGTCGTACCATTGCTCCATTGTCAACTGATACTTTTGATAACCAAGCATTTCTTTCACGGAAATGGTGTTTTGGAAATTAGCACAAGTAATATTTGTGGCTTGCATCATCCTGAGGACTACAGGAGGTAATCGCAAACTTAAAGTATGCAACTTATATGAAACGTTCTTTAATGAAAAGTGTGTGCAGAAAGGCTTCGATCCAGCTCACTATTCTCTATGTACAAATTTTGATACACAAAGGAAGGGTCTTAGTCGGAGAAAAAATAGACTATGCACCAAGATCCAGAAAAAGGCAAAAAAGGAAAAATGTGACCTATACAGGCTTTGTGAACAGCCCAAAGATGATGCAGAGAAGAATATCTCTGTTCCTTCACCAGAATTAACACTGAAGACTGAAGAACAGTGGTGCCAATACTCTAACAGTTATCTGGATGGCTATTTAACATCAGGAGTAGGGTAAGTTAAAACATCATGATAATCAGTATATTTTTTCCAATCTTCAACGAGTATTTTTAACAACTCATCAATTTCACATACCATTGAAAGTTTCAAGCATAAATATAATGAAACAAATGTACTTCAGGCCCGAGGCTTATGATAAACTCGAAAATGCAAAGTTGGAATGTCAGAAAAGTAATGTTACTTGTCCCTGTGGTGGGATAACTCAGGTATGCCGTATAAATTACATTCAACCTTGTTCCGAAAGATGCATGTAATAGGTTGTTGCTATAATACTTGCTATGAACCCTTAAAATTACATAAAATTTGCACTTCCCCAAGAATCCCGGTAAATCGGGGTTTTATTGTAGACATCATAATATCCGATATAACATAATTGAATTTAAGTATTTAGATAAATTTAAATACGTTCAATTTCAGATTTTGAAGATTTGAGAGCCATTGCTCTTAATAGAGTTACATGGAAGTTTTTTGAGAAAATTTAGTTTTATCTTTTGAGACAGCTACCAATAAAGTTCTTAGGATTGCTGACTGCTGTTTTCAGATGTTTTGAACTGTGATATGGGTTATAATAATGTAATAAGTAAGTGTAAATATGTTGACTCAGGAGCCTTACAACAGTGGTCAATATACGCTGAGAATAGGAACGGAGGCTAAAAGTAAAGTATTCACTGAAGAAACATCCTGGAAACTCTGCGAGGAACAATTAACTGATGACAGTTGGTGCCAATACAATAACAGTTATTTATCAGATTATAGGAAATGTTTTATTTATGAGACACTTGAACATGCAAAGAGGGCTTGTTTACTCAACGATCCGTGTAATGGAATCACTCAGGTATGTGATGTCTCTCGGATTTTCATTCTATGTCTCATACCGTAAGAAACCTATTTAATAGCTAATCTCATGGGGGGGGGGGGGGGGGGGGGGGGGGGGGGGGGATCTAAGTACTAAGTTCTGTACGTGACGTCGACTAAGTGTAATTTTGGAATTTTGTCAAAAGACCCACCCACCCCCTTCGCGGTACTAACTGTTTTTTCGGATAATAATTAAGACACCCACCCCCTTTTGCCGGCTTTTGTGGTACTTTAAAAAAATCAAGACACTTATTTTTTTCGGAGTATTCCAACAGCCACATTGTTACACAAGTGCAACCAGCCAATTACAGGAAGCCGAAGGATTTGTTTTGGCCAGTGACGGTTAAGGTAGTGTGTAGTACACAGTCTCGGGCGAAGAATGTACGGTACACACTGTGTACCGTACTTTCTTCGCCCGAGACTTTACTGCAATGTGCAGCTCCTCATTTAACCCTCACACCCGATTTCTCGAGTATTCGGCTGAGTAGACCGGGGGGCTGCATAGACCACTCAGGATCCTTAGCTGAACGTCAACGACGCTCACCCTACGACCAGGCAGACAGTGGGATTCGAACTCGCAACCTCACGATTGCAAAGCTGGCGTTCTAACCAACCTACCTAGTACCTGGCCGTTAAAACTAACTAAAACCGTACTAACCGTACGAAAAATTCAAAAAAAATCCAAAAAACCCATTCCCAAAATTGAAATTTGAGGTAAAATGGGTTTTTTGGGGTTGGACAGCCCCTTAGTACCATGTACTAACTGTTTTTCTGGGAAATTTACCATGAACTAACTGTGTTTTGGAAGAAAATATGACGAACCCCCCCCCCCCCCCCCAACGTCACGTACGGTACTTGGTGTATGATCCCCCCCCCCCCCCCCCCCCCCCCCCCCCCCGAATTAACCGGTGCCCGGGATAACGTTTCTCAAGTAAACATGAGAATTAAAAGTATATCAATATTCAGGAACATAACAACGATGATCTATATACGCTCAGAACAGGAACAAAGCTTTACAGAAGTCACGGAGGAATTACTGAGACAACCTGGAAAGTCTGTGAGAAATAAGCAACTGCTGTCACAGCCATTATAACTTTCAGTTGACAAGTTATGTTGCCCTGCTATAAACTATACACTTTCAATCATCACTAAATCAGTAAAGACATTTTTCCTAGAGATAAAAATGACCTTAGTAGAGTTTCTGTTTGCAAGACTAACTTTAATAATACAAGTTCAATGTTGAATATATATCTAGCTCAATTAATCAGCTTTCATTATTTTCAAATTGGAAGATTAATTGATGATTTTTGATTAATTTTACCTAGTTCATGATGTATTGTGACTGATTTGAAACTACAGAGTGTACAACACTTATTCATTTGAGCGTTAATTAGCAGATTGTTAATTGATTAAGTCTTTTGTGTCAACAGTCATATTTTAACTCGTTTACTGCACTCAAGAATTAATAGGATTTTTAAAAGGTAGGTAGCTCTACTCATTATGAGTAGAACTACAAATATAAATAGTAGCCCACCACAGATAAAAATTCACGTACTAGCTTATTTAACTCTGCACGCACGGAGAGGTACGTGTCAAACAAGATACATGCTCCTCCGTGGGAAACCGCGGAAGTAAGAAAGGCAAATACTGGTATACGGTTTCGCCTTAGACAAGCACGCTCGATCAAGTCCGACAAAGACTGGTCTGAACTAAGCTCACACCAAGCGGAGTACAACAGACTGGTAGGATGTACTAAAACCTCTAAATTCAAGAAATTCTGTAAGAACATGGAAGCAAAGTCATGTTCAAAGAGAATATCTGCGATCATGAAAAACAACAAAACTGCCCGATTGGGGACAATGAGGAAACCTAATGGTGCCCTCGCCGATGGCAGATGTCCACTTTGCCACGAGCCCGCGACACCAGGAACTCAACGGGACCAAAACAACAACCAGACTGCCAAAGAGATTCCGGCAGAGTCGACCAACAAATGGACATCCAACACTATCTTCTCCAGAGGTAGAGTTGAGAAGTCAGTACTCAAATTTGACGGCTTAAAAGCTAGTGGACCTGATTGTCTGCGCCCTACTATGCAAGAGAAGGGACTACCACTCATAGGCGATGCCTTCACAAACCTAGCAAAGGCAAGCTTCCAAGGTGGATATGTTCCTGTTAGCTGGCGCAACTCGACAGACATTTTCCTACCAAAACCAGGGAATACTGACTACTATAACCCTAAATCCTACAGAATCATCACTCTGGCTCCAGTACCACTCAAGTGGATGGAACGAATAGTGCTATATGGCATACGGAGGAAGACCTTAAGATATACTCAAAGCTTAACAAAAAACAATACGGTTTTGTCAAAGGTACCTCAACTGTAGTCAGGGACGAAACGGAATCTCGTTAGCTTTTCGTGTTAAAAGCGATTTCTCAACGGTCATCACCTCTCTAGATGATTCTTAAAACATTTGGACTTCATTGCATTTTTGAAATAAATGCAATGAGGGCGTTTTCGGCCACACCCTTTTTCAGGGTTTCGCGGTCACTCGAATTTTTGTATATCAGCTCAGGAAGGTCTAAAAGACTATTCTGATACACCAAAATGTGCCTAATAGCCACATTTATATACAACTTATGAAGCAACATATACCTTAAAATACTTCGTTTCGGAATTATGGCCAAAAAACGGTTTTTGGCTTGACGCAGTTCATAATTTCCGTGATTTTTGGCATTTCCGCCTAGGAAGGTCGTAGAGACTATTCTGATATACTAAAATGTACATAATGGCCACATTTATTTACAACTTATGAAGCAACATATACCCTTAAAGGCTTACTTTCGGAAATGTGGCTGAAAAACGAATTTTTGCCGAGCGAACAAGACAGTATTCACAAATGGGCTATTGGACTGTTAACTAAAAAGGTCTTAAAGAAGACTCATGAGGAACATAGCATTTGTCACAAGATGTAAGATGACTCACTTTGTGTCCAGAAACACTCACAAAAATTGTAGAATAATCTACTTTATTGGGCATCTCTCTTAATGGGCCAGGACAGCAGCATATTTGTGTCTTACGAAAGGGCAATTTTTCAAAATTACGGTTTCTTTAGTAAAGGTCAAAGTAAAGGTCAAAGGGTCAGTTGCTAACAGCAAATTGTTTGCAATTGCCGACTCATGCACATCATATACTCAAAAACGTTCACTTTAGGAGTGATTAGTAAAAAAGTTTAACTATACTGCATGATTTGTGAAAACTCCAACAATTTTTCATTGGCACCAATTTAGCCAAAATGTAATGACCAAAATTCAACTTTTAATTTATTCATTCCATAAAACCATATTGTTGCTTGACCGCTGACCAGTACCCCACTTTATAATTATAATTGACTTCACTGCCTCGACCAATATTGGTCTGTAATCCCTGGATTGAGATCTGTTGGCTGCAGTTTAATTTAGCTCATTTACCATTTAAATAGTAATACCGCAGTGGTTTGGTTCGCATAGATTTTCCCATCGTATGATAATGTGTGTCATTCCCTCGTTTTTTAATCAAGTGGTTACTAGCTAGCTCTTTTGTTATTACAGCTGCCTCGAGATCTTATCTAGGGCACTAATGCAATAGTACTAGATCACTAGAACTGTAATTCTAGAACTTCAGATTAAGATTACTTGACTGAATGGCAGGGTTCGAGATTCGACTCTAAAACTCTCAGTTTAGGAGTGATTAGTAGATGCATGATGTGCGAAAACTCCAACTAGACAAGGATCATGCTTAATCAAAGTGTTCCTCGACTTGAACTTAAGTCTCGTAAGCCCAAACTGGAGTTTGGGCCACTGAATCGAATACAACCTGATATTAATTTTAGGATTTCGGGAAATTCATTCAGATTTTTATTCTTTGGTTTTTCAATTGTGCTACGAATCCGAGTTTGAGTTGATAACACCGAATTTCCTGTTTGACTCTCAAAGAGAGGAACCAAGGCGTAGGTTCCTCTTTTTGGCTCTGAGATCCAACTTTAAGATCGGACTTCGGAGATCATTGCGTCGGAGATCATGTAAGTGTAACATCAGTACCGGAGATCAGACTTTTTTGCTTGATATTGGACCTATAAATCTAATGATATATTCGAAACAGCACGGGATTTAACCAAGGTTAATTTAGATAAGATATACCAGCTTTCGGGGTTACAAGACCCCACGAAAGGCAGGCAGAGCATCCTAAATCCTCATGCTATCCTCACGTTGACCATCTAGGTCCATACCCCAGCCTCTCATTAGAAAACAGCTACTAGGCCCGATATCCGTCCCTTGTCCCGTAGTACTAGTGCCCCGTAAGTAAGAGATCGTTCAGATTTTGGTCATTTAGACCTCCTTCCCGCTCTAAAATCCACTTTAGCACTTTACCCAAAGCTGGAAAAATTTCACATGTGAAACCTAAATAGCTAAATCAGCATCTCGAGACCTTCTATTATATAAACCCCGTGATCCTACTATAAGCTTATAACTTATAAGGCATTGCAAGCCGAAATTAAGATTCACCTCAACTGGTGATATGAACCTGGTATGTTACCTGAATGCCCTCAGTCAAATCTCGAACCCTGCTAATGCTATTTTGCCAAGTAACCTTAATATGAGGTTCTAGAATTACAGTTCTAATGTTCTTAGTTAGTGCCCATGCCCCAGATAAGATCTCGAGGCAGCTGTAATAACAGAAGAACTAGCCAGTCACCACTTGATTAAAAAACGAGGGAATGACACGCATTATCATACAATGGGAAACTCTATGCGACAAAAAAAAGAATATGGGGTCATTCTGAAGTGAGAACCAAACCACTGCGGTATTATAGGAAATTAACTAAATTAAACTGCGGCCAACAGATCTCAATCCAGGGATTACAGATCAATATTGGTCGAGTCACTTAAAGTGGGGTACTGGTCAGCTGTCAAGCAACAATCTGGCCCGGATCCAGTGCCGATTTATTGTAGGTGCGGTATTCTTGGTACATATATCATGGTTTCATGGCATGAATATAAATAAAAAGTTTGAAATTTAATTTTGGTCAACAACGTTAATGTGGCTCTAGCTATGTGTTGGTTCAGCCGAATTAATTATTATTTTTTATCAAGTTTATTTTTCTCGTTAGTTGTCATCCGGCCAAACATTAAGCAACTTATATTGCAGTACCATTCATCAATTTGTATATCAAAATATGTCATTGTAATTTTGCATGGCTGAAATGTAACGCTTGATTTATATATACTAGCAGTAACCCGTATAACCCTAAAATGGTGTCAAGACTCAAGAGACTAAAATAAGTATTACCTATTTAATTCGCGTTTTTGACACCACTTGGTGGTCCAAATTTTGGGCTCTAAAACTCCTTTTCCTTGGCCAATTTTTTATTTTTTCATGCTGATTTGAAGGCCATTAAAGCATTTGACCCAGTCAAAAAAGTTTCAGTTGTATATCTTTTACGGTTTTTGCGGAAAGTCGCGTTAAAGTTGATGCCGTGGTGTCAGTAAAATGGTACGGATAAACACATCCATATATATCGTCTCGCTTTATATATAGTAAGATAATGATTAATTGAATTTTCAAATAAAATAAAAAAAACACATTTTATTTTAATTGGTGCCAAGGAAAAATTGTTGGGGTTGTCACAAATCATGTAGTAGTTATTTACTAATGACTCCTAAAGTGAGCGTTTTTGAGTATATGATGTACATGAGTCGGCAATTGCGAACAATTTGCTGTTAGCAGCCGATCCTTTGACCTTAAGAAACCGTAATTTTGAAAAATTGCCCTTTCGTAAGACACAAATATGCTGCTGTCCTGGCCCATTAAAGCATTAAGAGAGATGCCCAATAAAGTAGATCATTCTACAATTTTTGTAGGTGTTTCTGGACACAAAGTGAGTCATCTTACATCTTGTGACAAATGCTATGTTCCTCATGAATCTTCTTTAAGACCTTTTTAGTTAACAGTCCAATAGCCCATTTGTGAATACTGTCTTGTTCGCTCGGCAAAAATTCGTTTTTCAGCCACATTTCCGAAAGTAAGCCTTTTAGGGTATATGTTGCTTCATAAGTTGTATATAAATGTGGCCATTATGTACATTTTAGTTTATCAGAATAGTCTCTGCGACCTTCCTAGGCGAAAATGCCAAAAATCACGGAAAATATGAACTGCTTCAAGCCAAAAACCGTTTTTCGGCCATATTTCCGAAACGAAGCATTTTAAGGTATATGTTGCTTCATAAGTTGTATATAAATGTGGCTATTAGGCACATTTTGGTGTATCGGAATAGTCTTTAAAACCTTCCTGGGCTGAAATACAAAAATTCGATTGACCGCGAAACCCTGAAAAGGGGTGTGGCCGAAAACGCCCTCATTGCATTTATTTCAAAAATGCAATGAAGTCCAAATGTTTTAAGAATCATCTAGAGAGGTGATAACCGTTGAGAAATCGCTTTTAACACGAAAAGCTAACGAGATAGCCTTTTAGAACGGTTGGGATCCGACTACTGAGACAACTTTACACAAAATAGTACACAAAATAGAATGTACAATCACAAGCTCCGGTATGGCTCTAGGAACTTTCTTAGCTGTCAAAGGGGCCTTGGACAATGTAGTATTCAAATCTATAGAGAAGGCCCTGAACCGAAAATGTGAGTCGTCCTCAGTCAACAAATGGATTGTGTCTCTACTCCGCAATAGAACCACAAAAGTGGAACTAAACGGATGCAAGAAATCCATTGTCATAAGAAAAGGGTGTCCACAAGGTGCGATCCTGTCTTCATTCTTATGGAACCTGGTGTTTGACAGTCTCCTGTCGTACACCAGAGACAAGATCCCATGAATTATTAGCTACGTTGGAGGGACCGGCAACATGTGGCAACAAAGGCTTTGATGCTGATCATCTCAGAGAGATGACACAGAAATGTCTTGAAGCCATCATGAACTGGTGCACTGAGAACGGGCTGAAGCTAAGTGCACTAAAAACTTAAAACACACACCGTAATGTTCACTTGGAGGAGGAAATGGGAATTCTCAGAACCTATAACAGTAAACGGAACAGAAATAGGTATACGAAATTCCACTAAGTTTCTAGTAGGAGTAACACTCTGTAACTCACGTGGAATGAACACATCAAAAAATCAGTGTAAAAAAGCCAAAGGCATACTCATGCAATGCAGGAGAGCCATTGGACCAACATGGGGGTTCACCCCCACGACCATGAAATGGATATATACAGCTGTTGTCAGACTTTCCTTGACATACGCTGCAACAATCTGGCTCAATTGTGTGTCCAAAGAAACATAATGGATGGATACCAGCTCACAAAGACTATGATGGTAATGAAAAGGCAGACTCTCTTGCCAAACAAAGCTCTGATAACTTGGACTCTGCCAAAGTGCTACTACCAATACCAAAGGTATTATGGAAGGGAGCGCTGCGGAGTATAAGTCATCGGAAAATGAGGGAAAGATGGAGAACGTCGTGCAACACTCATTCCAAACAAGTATGGAGACACAAGTTCGCCATATCAATCCCAAAACTTGATAAAGAGAGCACAAGAACAGCGACACAATTCCTTACTGGACACTGTGAACTTAACTACCCTAAACGTTGTCCGCACTGTCTCATGGAAGAGGAGACAATGAACCACTTTATTGGTCAGTGCCCGAAGTGGTCTTTCCAACGAGGAGGATACTTTGACTCCTCCTACCTCAGCGGTCATGCTCTATCTTATAGTGATAATGACCACAGCCCCCTACGAAGAAGAAGAGTGTAGATTTTCTGTCACAACAAGACTGCAAATAATTTCAGTTAAACAATAAGAGCCTCGTTTCCTAAAACTCTTCTGAACTAGTGTTTCGATTTGTGCAAAAGCTTTCAGGCCCGTACATTCTTTGCCCTATTTCCTGATTCCTGATATATTGCTCAAATGCCCCCAATCAGTCAACTAAATGAAAAAGGATTTAGAACTCTGAAAATAGATAAGAATTCATAATTTACCTTGCCTGAGGCACCATCTCCCACTATGACAACTTTAAGCTGCTTATCAGTGGCAGTCTCATCATCACTGCAGTCAGACATTTTACATTCTTAACTTCCCTTTTCAGCTGAGAAATAAGTGTTGATTTGTAGAGTTCAGCACGTAAAAAAGAGGTTTGAAAATAGTCACCCAAATACAGGAAATATTAAAAGAGGAACATAAAACAGTACATGACTTGGCAGGTACATTTTAGCCAAACCAAGGCAAAGGTGACAAGTCATGCTGGCTAGTTTCCTTAGACATGCACCGTTGCTGTACAAGGACAACTGCCGGTTGTTGTTTTCTTGAGAGTCCTACAGTAAGTAAGTAAGTAAGTAAAGATTATGACATGACATCATCACAAGTGTCTACAAAATATCATTGCAGTTAAATAAAAAAATAATTTAAATAAATATATTTTTCCATCAACATTAATAATTTATCAAATTCAATTTCATTAATTAATAAAATCTAATACATTATCTATAAATAATTCATTAATACTTCCCAGTGGAATAAAGATTTATAAAACGCTTCTTTGCCACAAAAGGATGAAACCAAAGATATTCATTATGTGTCTCCTTATTGCTTAAATAACTGGGTCCTTCAATTTTCCCCAAAACTTCATCCGAAACACTCCAAAAATAAAAATCATTTACACTTAATAAAACAAAAGTTAAATTTATTACCAATTATTCAATCAATACATATCATAAATTCTAATATTGGAAACACAATGCAAAATGGATGTCTTAAACTATAATTTTACACTGTTTTTAGAGATCATTTCTTTCTTAAATCCTTCCAATCTAACTTTAAAGCTTAAAACTGTCGAGCAGTTCTTGACATCTGAAGGGAGTTTGTTCCAGTAAGAAATCACTCGCTCCGGAAGAAAAGAAGACTGGAGATTCTTAACTTTAGCTACACTACATGTCAGCCATGATTGTCCAGCGTCTTGAGTCAGCAGAGGGAAAATTTATTTATTTGAAAATTCAATTAATCATTATATATAGGTCTTCAAGGTGGGTGCTACTTGTGATGAACTCTAGAAGGATGGGATGGTAATACTCGGTCTGGCCGTCTGGAAGCCCATAGAATTCCAGTTCAGAAACCGAGTAAGGAGGTGCGGCTACTGATGAGAAGCCTCCTTAAAGTTTATTTGGGTTAGAAACGACATCTGGGTCCCTACCCTCGCACAAGATTATTCTCAATTTTCTTGTTGTGTCCACAACTATACCGTTGATCAGAGTCACATCTGATGACTTCAGTGAAAGGGCTGATGACTTCAGTGAAAGAGCTGGTGACCTAGTGAAAGTGCTGGTGACGATGAGAAAGACCATAAACCAGGGATTCCTTCGGGAGCATGTAAGATTATATCCAAAGTTTGTTCGCCAATGGGGTGTGTCTGGGTGTCAAAGATCTTCAAGGTGGGTGCTACTTGTGATGAACTCTAGAAGGATGGGATGGTAATACTCGGTCTGGCCGTCTGGAAGCCCATAGAATTCCAGTTCAGAAACCGAGTAAGGAGGTGCGGCTACTGATGAGAAGCCTCCTTAAAGTTTATTTGGGTTAGAAACGACATCTGGGTCCCTACCCTCGCACAAGATTATTCTCAATTTTCTTGTTGTGTCCACAACTAAATCAAGCGTTACATTTCAGCCATGCAAAATTACAATGACATATTTTGATATACTAAATGGTAAATGGTACTGCAATATAAGTTGCTTAATGTTTGGCCGGATGACAACTAACGAGAAAAATAAACTTGATTATATAATAATTAATTCGGCTGAACCAACACATAGCAAGAGCCACATTAACGTTGGGGCCGTCTACCAAATTTGAATGACAAACATTAACAAGAAATCAAACATATCATAAATAATTATAAGGATTTTGTTCATTACAATTCCGTCACAACTGATAAGAAAAAAGAAAAGGACAAGCAGATAGGAAATTGGACGGACAGAATTGTAACCAACAAAAACAAATTTCTGAGACTCATAAGACTGATGAGCTAATCTGGCCAGACTGTATCGGCAGCCCAGAGGTACTTGATCAGTTTGGCCTTAAAAGTAGAAATCCGCTCTGACTGCCGGATACATACTGGTAGACTATTCCATTTCAGCATAGATCTATGAAAAAAGCTATTTCGGAAGGCATCCGAGCAGGGCACAGTGGTACTCATGTAAGTTGAAGTATCCGACATATCAATTATTTGAGCATTGTGCCTAGTGTATCGGGTGCCCTCTGGACGGCATAGGACTATATATGTAGGGAGCGAAACTGGAATTATGCTATTCACTATTTTATAGAAGGTCATAAGATCGTTATAAATAAACTTCTGTTTAACAGGGAGAATATTTAGTTTCTTTTGCTCTGTAGCAAGTTTATCGTCATTATAACTGGAGTAAGGTTCACCATTGATCCATTTAATAGCCCTCTTTTGGATAGCAACAAACTGTTGAAGATGAGTTGCAGATTGAGGGGACCATATGACAGAACAATGTTCAAATATAGACCTAATTAACGCTAAATAGAACGATCTTTTCTGCCTTTTATCAGTAGTGAAATGACATGTTCTCTTAAGTAGTCCAAGTCTAGAGGTAGCTTTGGAAACAAGCGCTTTACATTGTGCACCCCAATTAAACCTGGAGTTTATTGCGACTCCTAAATCTGACTGAGAGGGCACAAAGTCAATATCACTTCCAGAAAGTTTATAAAAGAAGGTATTGAATGGCAAGTTATCCAGCACGTTTCTTTGCAGGGACACAGAGAGGGCTTTGCACTTTTGTGGGTGGAACTTCATTCGATTTCTCACTGACCAATCATATAATCTGTTGATGTCATTTTGGATTATGTGATGGTCAGGGTAACCAAGGATCTCCCTCCAAATTTTAGTGTCATCTGCATAAAGGGCGATATTGGTGCCTTCAGAGACACAGGAGAACATGTCATTTATAAATATTACAAACAATAAAGGGCCAAGTATAGAACCTTGAGGGACACCAGACCGAACTGGTAGAGAAGAAGACGTTTGGCCTCCTATCACTACTTGTTGTTGTCGCCCCTCAAGATAGGACTTAATAAATTTAAGCATTAGTCCATCGACATTAAAAATATTCTTTAATTTACTTAAAATGAGGTCATGCGAAACGCTATCAAAAGCTTTCGCAAAATCAAAATATATTATATCAGTCCTGGACCTGTTATTCAATGCAAGTGCAAGATTGTCCGTGAAAGGTATCATTTGGGTTGTGCATGAACGTTCATTAACAAAACCGTGTTGTCGGTCATCCAACAGATCAGAACATGCAGCGTATAATGCAGTCTTTATGCACCTTTCAAAGACTTTCATTACAAGAGATGTTAACGAGATAGGCCTGTAGTTCTCAACCGAAGACTTATCGCCCTTTTTGTGCACTGGTACTACAAGGAAATCGAAGCCAATAGTATCTCACAAAAGGAAATAACTCACAAGAGAAAAAGAAATGACTTCACACTCAAGGAAAGAAATATTCGAATGCTTTATCAAACGCTGCTGTCATAGCTGCGTAGTAGCACATATTATTTTCATGTTTCAGACAATTTTCCATTCCTGGGTGTACATTGTATCACGTGGTGACCCCCACGGTCGCTTCACTATAGCGTCTTCGACGCTACAGGGGGAGCCGCGCACTTCGTGCGCGGCGGGTCATACAACGTATGACAAGGTGTACAAAAGACACTTTTGAAGGACTTTTTTTGTGTTTGTATTTAATGCATCATAAAAAGATTGACCATAATGTTATGTCTCTCGTGAATTTCCCAAACGTGTTATAAAATCCAGGAACCTAGATTGCTATTACTTGTCATACATTGTATGACCCGCTTGTATCACGTGGTGACCCCCACGGTCGCTTCACTGTAGCGTCTTCGACGCTACAGGGGGAGCCGCGCACTTCGTGCGCGGCGGGTCATACAACGTATGACAATGACCCGCCGCGCACCAAGTGCGCAGCTCTTGTCATACGTTGTATGACCCGCCGCGCACGAAGTGCGCGGCTCCCCCTGTAGCGTCGAAGACGCTACAGGGTGAAGCGACCGTGGGGGTCACCACGTGATACAACGCAGCTCCCCCTGTATTGTCAGGATCGGACGATAAATGATAAAGTGAAACGACCGTGGGGGTCGCAACGTGATACAAGCTATTACATGTTGGCAAAACAAATACCATTGACCTTCGTCGATGGACCTTCTTAAGGGAATGCTTCAGGCATTTAAACAGGCAGTGCTGATCTAAAAACGCGGTCGCAATACTAGCAACGATCTTGCTCTATCCAGAGCCCTTGCGCTTGCAGTAGCGCGCGCCCGACTCACGGCGGTGAAAAGGGCTCTAGCCATGAACCCACCCAACGATTTTGGCACCACTCTACAGTGGTGCCAAAATTTCCCGCGCTTTTGTCCTCATATGCTACGTTTGTAGCCTTTCAGACATTGATTGCGTAAACGAGGTGTCGTACGTCACCTCAAGATCAGGTGACAGGGGGCTGAGCATACCCGAACCTAATTGATCATTGATTGGGTCTGAGGTCACTTAATTATGAGCTTATGAGGTCACGTGACTATGACGTCACCAGACCTTGTCCTCCGTTTCCCGCTCATTGGACCAGGTGAGCTTGCATGCTTGTGAATGTAGGTGTAAATACAGGGTTCCAATTAGAATTAGACCTCTCCATGGAATCACAATATTCCAGTATATTTATATCTAGTTCCTGGCATCCAATAATTTAATTTCATTCCCCTTGATGGTTCCAATTAGAATTAGACCTCTCCATGGAATCACAATATTCCAGTATATTTATATCTAGTTCCTGGCATCCAATAATTTAATTTCATTCCCCTTGATGGTTCCAATTAGAATTAGACCTCTCCATGAAATCACAATATTCCAGTATATTTATTTCTAGTTCCTGTCATCCAATAATTTAATTTCATTCCCCTTGATGGTTCCAATTGATTGGCCGACATCTGTCCGACAGCGACATCTGTCCGACTCAGAAAATAGGTTATTTGGACAATAGTTTATGTCGGATCCTACCGTACGATTTTCTTGAAACTTTCCATAAAGTATAGTGGTTATATGACGAATAATCTGTGTAAGTTTGAGCGAGTGTCTATGTGCTAAATTTAAGATATTACCTTAAACACTAAAAATATATCCAATTCGGTGGTTTTCAGTGGTTCCAAAGCATATATCTGGAGATCCAACGATACGATTTTCTTGAAACTTTCTAGATAGTAAGATAGCTTTAAGACAAATAATTTTTGCCATGAACCCACCCAACGATTTTGGCACCACTCTACAGTGGTGCCAAAATTTCCCGCGCTTTTGTCCTCATATGCTACGTTTGTAGCCTTTCAGACATTGATTGCGTAAACGAGGTGTCGTACGTCACCTCAAGATCAGGTGACAGGGGGCTGAGCATACCCGAACCTAATTGATCATTGATTGGGTCTGAGGTCACTTAATTATGAGCTTATGAGGTCACGTGACTATGACGTCACCAGACCTTGTCCTCCGTTTCCCGCTCATTGGACCAGGTGAGCTTGCATGCTTGTGAATGTAGGTGTAAGTACAGGGTTCCAATTAGAATTAGACCTCTCCATGGAATCACAATATTCCAGTATATTTATATCTAGTTCCTGGCATCCAATAATTTAATTTCATTCCCCTTGATGGTTCCAATTAGAATTAGACCTCTCCATGGAATCACAATATTCCAGTATATTTATATCTAGTTCCTGGCATCCAATAATTTAATTTCATTCCCCTTGATGGTTCCAATTAGAATTAGACCTCTCCATGAAATCACAATATTCCAGTATATTTATTTCTAGTTCCTGTCATCCAATAATTTAATTTCATTCCCCTTGATGGTTCCAATTGATTGGCCGACATCTGTCCGACATCTGTCCGACATCTGTCCGACTCAGAAAATAGGTTATTTGGACAATAGTTTATGTCGGATCCTACCGTACGATTTTCTTGAAACTTTCCATAAAGTATAGTGGTTATATGACGAATAATCTGTGTAAGTTTGAGCGAGTGTCTATGTGCTAAATTTAAGATATTACCTTAAACACTAAAAATATATCCAATTCGGTGGTTTTCAGTGGTTCCAAAGCATATATCTGGAGATCCAACGATACGATTTTCTTGAAACTTTCTAGATAGTAAGATAGCTTTAAGACAAATAATTTTTGCAAGTTTGATTAAATTTCTTTGTGCCAAATTTGAGATATCACTTCAAACACACGAAAATAGTGTTGTCGGACAGATGTCGCTGTCGGACAGATGTCGTGTTACCAAACTGATTTATTGTTGTTTAATTTTGAATCTATTGAAATTATTATATTAACTGAATTACATTGTATAGACTGCATAGCAAAAGTTTGGAGCTTTGTCTGCTGAAAGTCAGTTTTGAAACAATTGAATGAAAGGAGAGCTACTGACTGATATCATAAGCTACAGTAGGGAACGTAGTGGTAAGTCTTTGTCAAGTTATACAATTAAAATATTGTAACAAGTTAAGTTAGGAAGATTGTTTGTGATTGATATCATCGATTTTCACCTTTTAAGAGTCTAAATTGCAGGAACTTGAACTCGACAGAATGATGACGTGGTGACCATTATATTTGATATTATAACAAACTTGAAAAGTTACATGCTTTTTACGTAAATGTATGAACCAAAAGTGTTGCTTTTATTGGTGTTTCTTAAAACTTTAACTATCACGATCGAATTATAGACTTTAATTGAAGCTAATGGGACACATCTGACCGCAGATTAAACGTTTAGCCGGTGTCGTAGAGACGAAATCCATACCTCAGAGGTTGCCAGCTAAACCAGTTGTAAGTGGTTCACAATCATTAAAATTGTTATTGTTAAAAGTGCAACGACCTGAGCCTTTGCGCCGTGACATGGACGGTAACACAACTCGTGTCTGACAGCGAGATCTGTCCGAATCAGGGTACCAGAAAAAAACGGCATCTGTCCGAAATCATCATCTGATTTCAACACATTTCCAATTAGAGACATGATCTGAACTCATGAACTGTTACTCGCTAATTTGTATACGTAACATTTCCAATTTGAGATATGATCTACCCAATGCTCCGCGTCCGCCATATAATATATGATCTGCGTTCTTAGCAGTACCCCAAAGGAAAGATCGTCGAGTATTTTCGTCCCATCCAGAGTCCCAGAGCAGCATTGTTTCGTTGTCGGTAGAGAGCATATAGTTTGCAGGAATGGGGAGCGTTTCCAGATTAGAAAGGTTTCCAGATTAGAAGGGTTTCTCGGGTTAGAAAGGTGTCTGTTTGCTGCTTTTCTGCTTTTCTGTACCATTCTGTTGAGGGGTGATAGCTGGCAGCTCTAGATTCGTAACCCAATCCACCAACTGATTCAGATAAGAGTTATTTCGTCGGTCGATCTCCACCAGAAGCTTTTCTTTTCAAGTTCTGTTTGCTGACGTGGACGGTCGTTTCAGCATGGTGGGCAGGGTGAGTGCGGTCAGGAGTAGGAGTAATCAGTTGTTTCTCCACGGTAGAATCGTGCTCTGCAACCCTTTCGGAAATCCGAATATTTCCAGTGGGTGGTATCGTCTCTTTATTTGTCGAAGACGTATCGGAAGCCATTCAGGACAGTGTTCTCCGGGCCGAGCCTTGTTTGCGTCCAGGGATAAACTGAAGATTGGTTGCAATTGTGGATTGCGATAACTGATCTACATACCGCTGTCTTATATGTACTCATGTCCTGTGATGTGATCGACAGCTTGTAAGTTTACGGCTAGGACGATCTGACGTTCCTGTTCTCAACTAGTCATTCATATATCGAGGATTATATTTCAATGGATCACATCAGCATTAGAACAATGGGAGCAACGTCACGAGATTACCCGTGAGCTTGTGAAATACGAATGTGAACTGAAATTACAATATGATCCGAAATTCGGACAGATGTCGCCAAAAACGACTCCTGTCCGACAGCCACATCTGTCCGAAATCCCTAATTCGGCTGTCGGACAGATGTCGCCCAATCGACATGGACACGGTTGGACAACACCTATACCATTATTTGGTAGATCAACTTAATAGATTTACATGGTTTTGACTTACATCTCAAAACTTATTTAATTTAACTGTTACTATACCTGCCGGCAGGTATAGTAACAGTTAAATTAAATAAGTTTTGAGATGTAAGTCAAACAGTATTTCCCAGGAACAGTATTTCATCACAAATGAACAAATTGCTCCAAGATACATACAGTTCGAGCTCATATGATTTTCTTCCTGTAAGTATATCTTGTCAAATGTCAAAGAATCGATGTAACATAGTATGTTGTTACACGCTTCATAACTTATCGCAGCAATGTGTACTATCCTACATTCGTTTTCATTTGGTATATACATTCATTGAAATAACTATTGTTTTTCAGCCAAAGAGTAGTCGAAGATTGAGAGCATTCCTGCTATCAAGAAACCTGTTATCAAGAAGCCTGATATCAAAAAACCTGATATCAAGACATGCAGCACTGTCAAATCGGTTAGTACAAGTGTAAAAACTGTTCGTGAACACGTGTCGCTCATCGGGATACTTGGATATTGCCGATTTTATGTGTGATCTCGAGTTACATATGTCGTCACTCGCCATGCTCAAATCCATCTAAATAACTTGTTTCCAGGCTTGATAATCAGCTGTTACCCGGGTGAAACTTCAGTTTATCTTCTATCAACGTTTATTGATCTCACAAATGCTTGATGTTTGAATTGCAGTGTCGATTAACACTAACAGTACTTAAATCACCAGTATGTAAAGTCAAATCACTAGTATGAAGGCATATCATAGTAGTACATTTTACTGATTTAAATCGAAACCGTCAGATCTTAACGTTCAAAATGTACGATAAAAACTTTACCAAGCCGAGTTTTACCGAGGTTTTGCAAACATGCGATGGAAAACAAACGCATTCCACTGAGTGGAATCCACTCATGTGTAAGACGGAACCAGTCAAATCCCTGTCAAAACTTCGAGCAAATCTGCACACACTGTAACCAGCCAGGGGAGGTGGTTACAGAAGGAGGCAGTGACGACTGTTGACATACATTTTTATTTCTGTTTCACCTGTCAGACTTCATATCGATACACCGTTGTCTCGGAAGGGGTGTTCACGGTTCAATAACAACGACCATACAATTGTAGACTGTCAGCTTCTGGAAACCATCTTCACCAGACTGACATTGTTAATTGGACACCCCATATCCGAGACAGTCGATCTTTCCGAAAGGAGTCCGACAGTCCCCACCTTACCAACAACACCCTAAGGGATCCCTTCCTACTCTATATGGGCATGAAGGAGACACCTCTAGACTTTCTGTCCTGTAGAGAGTGTGGGAGGCATTCCCCTGTCATCCTCTTTGATGTGAAAGCAATAGATAAAGGCTCTGACGGCAAACCTGATGTCTACCCCATACAATTTGATGACTTGTGGAACATCGATCGTCAAGCAGAAAACCGGATCTAACGTCATCAACGGTATGCATTGACATGCTTAAATTAATCAAGAAGGGGACACTGAGATAACGGGTGGAGAGGATAATAGAACACAACACAGATCACTATTCGTTCACTAAAAAGTTTGTACAGATTGCTGGGAAGAGTGGTGGACTTCTCACAGTCATGTGTCCACATGGAATATGTGTAGGGTTTAAGGTCCTCTGCCTGCATGAAGGGGCATCGGATTACGTTCAGTTCCTTAGATCATGGCAGCATATTCCGTCAATATCTGTTGTGGTCTTTGCTTCCCAAGTGGCCCGCCATGCCGAGAAGCAGTTCCCTGGTATGCTGCCACCATACGGAGGAAAGCTGGCAGACTCTTCAAAACCGAAGATCCCGCAATTCATTAAATTCGGCGGCGTTATAAACTTCGATGAGCTGTTGAACCACAAAGTTCAATCTGTGAAATCCAACCCTAGAGACCATCCTGTAACCAAGTGAAGCCACAAGTTACCATATTTATGTCCATAATCAAAGATAGAGATTCGGCGGAAAGACAGTGCAGGCTGAGCGCCGCCCAGTAAGCCATAAGTACATCTTATTTGACAGATTTCATTCGAGGTGAATTTTAAAAATCCATAAGATATATTTCATCGCTTGAATATTTGTGCACAGCTGCTACGGAATAGAATAAACACATCAATTGTGTGAGCAAAATCACAAGGAGCTTAATAGGTACAGATATTCATTATATAACATGTCGGGGATGAACTTACTGCTGTCGGTTACATTCATACATCTTATGAGAAACGGCTGCACGAATTCCAGGCCCCCCTATTATTAGGGGTCAGATCATACTTACTTACTTGATACTTGATAAGGTCTCCTCGATCATTCGAGTGGCCTGTACCAAGGAATTGCCGCTTATGTCGTATCATCTCTCTCCAGTGCTTGCGATTTCCTGCCAACTCTCGGACCTTATCAAATACAATGTCTGGATCTCCTGTAAATGTTACTGCGTCTTCCAGGACACAGGTTCGCCAATTCTTTCTTGGCCGCCCACGTGATCTTCGGCCGTGAGCAGGTGTCCAGTCAAGTAGATACTTTGGTAGCCTGGTGTCCGGCATTCTAGAAACATGTCCAAACCAGCGAAGACGGTTGGCACTGATGTTGGTTATAACCGGGTTTATTCTTGCCCGCTCCAACACTTGAACATTGCTCGTCCGGTGGAACCATTTAATTCGAAGGATTCTCCACAAACAGTTTTGATGGAAAACTTCGAAGCGATGTAGTTGCTTTGAAGTAGTGTTCCAGACTTCGCTTCATAAAGTAATATTGTTAGAACCGCTGCAACATATATCCGTATTTTGGTGTTAGTTTGGATATTGCGATTCTTCCAAATATTACCGAGCTGATTGAATGCTCCTGAGGCTTTCTGGATCCGTGCAGACAAGTCCCGGTCAATAGTCCCATCACTTGATATAATCGACCCAAGGTAAGTGAAGTTGCTGACTTGCTGGATAGCCGTGTCTCCCACTGTAATGTCCACCGTTGGGCTTCAGTATACGGCCTCTGTGATGTATTCTTGCCGGTGGCCATAACCTCTGTTTTCTTCGCATTGATTCTGAGGCCAGCCTGAGCCGCATACTTGCATAAAAGATCAGTCGTCTCCTGGAGACCGTCCTTGGTGTTGTCCATGATAGCCAAATCATCTGCATAGTCAGTATCCAAGGACGACTGTATCCTGACCAAAGCTGGTGGTAGCTCTCTGCAGCACTGCCCCGTGTGACAACACTTTGTTATTCTCAGCCCGCTGCGCAGGCAGGTTGATGCAAACATTAAAGATAGGTGGACCCTGAAATCTGAATATCCCCCTGCCCAGAACCAGATGTAACGTCAAACCAATCTGAGAGCTCACCATTATGTCTGACAGAGCTGACGGTGCCGCAAAAGAATGCTTGCATTATGCGAATGTATTTACAAGGGCAAGCCATAATGACTGAAAGCTTTCCAGATAAACTCCCGATTAAGTGAATCGAATGCAGCTTTAAAGTCAACAAAATTTAAGTACAGGGGGAGGTTAAACTCAATGCTGTTGTGAATAATAGTACGGAGCGAATAAATCTGATCAATGCAAGACCTTTTTTTCCTGAACCCGCACTGATTCTCTCCGAGCAGTTCTTTAAGCCCCGCATTCATCCGTCGCAACACTATTATCTGATAGAGTTTTGATGCCGTGGAGCGTAGGGTAATGCCCCTGTTGTTCGAGCAGAATGATGTATCACCCTTTTTCGGGACAATAACAATGATACCATTAACCCAATCCTCTGGCACATTCTCCGTCTCCCAAACACGTGCAAACAGTTTCTCAAGCCTGTCTAAAAGACCAGGAGCCCCATACTTCAGCTGTTCGTTGGAAATTTCATCAATTCCAGAGCTCTTGTGATTCTTCAGACTCTTTAAAGCCTCAGAGATCTCTGTTCTGCTAGGGGGTAAATCACTATCACTCAGATACGGAAAACATGGTGCGACCTCTAGACTGTCTAGGTCCACGTCTCCTATCTGCGGGTTTAGTAGTTCAGCGAAGTGCTCACCCCATCGTTTTCGTTGAGCAGCGGGGTCAGAAATCAACTTCTCGGTTTTATCTCTGACAGCAGTTGACTTCCGACTCTTCTTGCCTGACAAGGACTTGATCATCTGCCAGACCTCCCTCTGCTGACCGTGTGAAGAAGCTGTTTCCAGATCGGCTGCAACCCGTAAAGCCCAGTTCTCATCGTCCTTCTTGCAGCTCTTCTTAACACGCTTATTAGCAAGAGAATACTCAGATCTATTGAATCCATCACGGAGTAAGGTCAAGCATTTCTGCTTGACCTTACTCCGCTCCGAGATGAGATCCTTTGTCTCTTGTGACAAGTGCTGCTTGTCAGATCATTATATGACGTATAATTAGTGATGTGCCGTATAATTAGTGATGTGATCCACCAGCTACGATTTACAGAACATGTGAACTCTACCCTATATCTAGCCCAGTTTTACCCCTTAGTTTTGATTTAAATTAACAAGTACACACACAATACTAAAAGAACAGATATCGTGGAGTTGGGTATGGTAATTCCTTCGCCTCTTAGCGGGTGTCTTGCCAACACTCAACCTGTCGATGTGAAAGTCGGTAATAACTTGCTGATCTTTGATAGCTCGCACATACTCTTGAACAGAGGGCTTTGGGCGATGCACTCGGGATTTAAATCCTCTGTGAAAGCCAGGCAGACTTGAGGGCTGAATCCTTTACTTGTCCTTCTTCCGGGAGTAGATGTATCCATCAGAGTCGAGTAGCTGTTGACATCCTGTCCGACCAGAGATGAATTTGGAGAAGGTAGGCATGTTGATAGAATGCGATACTATTGTCTATCATCTCTTCCAGTATATAATATACCTAAGAACACTTGATCGGCTCACCCCCGTTGCATGCCTTTGGCACGTACGTCTCACATCCCTAGATACAAGAACCCCTCTTTAGCAAGAGCTCATGTCCCTTATGTGATATAGTTATACGAGTCGAGCGGTCAAAATCTTAAAGATCATGTTTACTTCTTAATGCACAGCTATGATGTACATGTGAACTCTACCATTTCTAGGTTAGTTAAATTCTACTGATGGATCACATTACTAATTTATACGTCACTAATTAGTGACATGATCTGATCTCCCTGGGCCCCCTAGTAATGAGGGGGCCTGGAAGTCGGCCTCTCGACCAGTCAGTGAGTGGAATAGGGAGTGAAGCCTGTTACCATTCCTCCACTCTTTAGAGTTTAGGAAAATAAGCCAGCAACGAAGATTGATAATCGCCTGCTAGTTCCTGTAGCAACTAAATCATCTAGTGAGTGCCTGAGGATGGTGACCGGATTTTCGTCTGTTCAAGAGAAGAACATCCAACAGCAAGGAATGTGAAATATATCAATGCCATGCTGTGCCAACAGCAGACGGATAACTTCTCGTGTGGACCTCATGCTTTGGGTTTCTCTGGGCATTTAGTGGTGGAAACGACCCCCAACAGATTCTGGTTCAACTCTACGGATATTAGGAAGACCATACTTAAAATCGCCGAGGACGTCAATAATCGCGATACACATCTTGGGAGAGAAGTGCAAAAAATAAATCCAACGGCAGCGTCAAAATCTCTGGTAACTGTTTCCTGTCAGGCTGTCTGAATCCTTAACAACAAATTACTCTCCAAACCCTGGGCAACTTCTCTCCTAGCTCCAACTACAACCGAAATACTGTAATATAAGCCCATCACCATTTTCACCAGTCTCTGGAAAGCCCTTGAAGTACCTACAGGTGTATCTATACTAGTATACTCATTCCACTAGCATGTAACATTTCACGTGATCATTATAATGAGCTTTCCTCACTTCTTCACTTATCACTCAACCCAGCCTCTCTTCCAGTGCTCTGGATTTGGAGGACTTAATTAATGATACACTCAATTAATATACTTGTTAATTGATCTTTGATGTAATTTCTATTCGGTCTATTATTTTAATTTTGTTAGTGCATGGAGTGAGTCATGTGTATTAAATTTCGTAATGAAGACTGCTTTCAATTCCCAATTGAATTTGTTTTAGTTCTTAGTACAATATTTTAAGAGATTAAGAGAAAAGGAAGTTTTGATACTATGGTTTCGCACACGCTGCTTTGCTTTTAATAACTTCCTGGGTTGATGTTATACAGATGGGCTGTGTAGAATAATTTTAAATTTGGGGTAGACGTTGCGAAACTATGATCGACCGCCAAGCTTTTGTTATATTTGAAATAATAACAATAATAAATTAAATTATAAACACTGCTTTTATTATTAATCAACTATTTACAGCAAACACAAGATAATAGAAATTAAATCATAAAATCGAGTGGCCGAGTAGTCTCGACTCACCCATAACTTCTCCAAAGACGTCTATCATGAGCTTTGTACACTAAATCGTTGAAATTACTTAAACTAAATCTTTTATTTACAATCACAATAATTTGTTTTGTCATAATGTCTTTTAATAATAAATCAAATAAATTTTGAACGAGGTCTGCCCCTCCTTCCTTTGTAGTCAAAACATCCTAAACATGCAAATCTTAAAGATAAGAAGGCGGGAGTGTCATCACCGCTTCTGAGAACGTGCCCAAGCATCTTCCATCTTGCTTTCTTGATCCTTTCAGTAAGGGTCAGTAACACTGCTTTTAAGTTGTAAAACTTTTACTCAGCAGTTTGAGAACAACTACAAAAGAACAAACTGATATAAGTGCCACAATAACTCTATCCTAAATTAACAGCCTTCCCAGCAATACACGATATATTAATATTACTCAGTAAATAGTACACACTACACAGTATTATGTACTATGCAGTAGTACACAGGCACTTTCAATCATTTAGTAACCTGAAATGTTTAGCCAGTAAATTATTTTAATGTTATTTTTTACACACTGTTCCTCATGATGTGTGGTATATTAAAGCTTTATTACCGGGACTACTGTATTTCTTTTACTTGTTAATCCGACCGACTGCTTTAAACTTTTTTTAAGTGTGTTATCTTCAAATTAATTCTGAGACCCACTCAATCAATACGATGCTGTATTCCATGTTTACATTGTTCCTAATTACATTGTTATCTTCATCCATGATCGCTAATAAGCTTAATGACATTGTTTGTAATTTAGTACTTCTTTTTCACTTGTTTACAAAAGAAATATGACTCAAAATTTTTCAGCTCCAGTACCTTGGTCGAGTGAAATCGTTTCTGCTCAGATGTCCGCTGGAGTACTTCGTCCGCTGGAGTACTTCGTCCGCTGGAGTACTTCGTAATGTTGTTCTAAGGATGAACAAAGGTAGTACAAAATTTAAGATTGTAAATCTTTAGAATCATACTGTCTAGCGCCTAATCTGTAATCGTTCAAAATCTGGCGAGTAACTGAGATAATTAAAACCTGATTGAGATTTGAAAAGTTACTTACCATTGTACAGTCAAAAATTATATTTTTAATTTCAGCATAGTGATGAGAGAGGGCTATTAATGTGTGGGATTTCTGCTGCTTTGTTAGTCATCTGACTTTTTCATTTTTACTCGGTGATTTTCTGAGGAAAGAGTTCTGCTAAAAAAGATAAAAAAGATATGCACGCGAGAGATGTTTCCTCTGAGATTATGCTGATGCCGGATGCATCACAAGCACATATTATTCGAACTGCAAATCGGAGAATTTTTTTATAATCCTGAACTTAATTTAAAATCCTTACTTAAAATCAGTTCTCATCCAATACTTTACAGATATTGCATCTAAGAGAGTAACAGGACGCTCGCAATATCTTGTATATATATTTTCTTGTGTTTGAAGTCATTATATCTCAAGTTTGGCACATATAAATTCTCCCAAACTCTCACACATTATCCGTCATATAGCCTTGTAACTATCTGGAAAGTTTAAAGAAAATCTATCAGTCAGACCTTGAGAAAATCAAAAATATATTCTAAGTTATTCACTAAAACACTCTATTTTCGAACTTTTTATTTTAAACAGATTTATCGTTCTGGTACCAAAATGCTTTACCATAATAAACGTACGGCGCGAGAACATTTCCTCGTCCAAAGTCTGACAGTTAACAACATGCGTAGGATTCCCTCAAGAGGTGAAAACGTAATCGCCACCTAAGTACAGCTGTACTGTAGTTTATACCTAATTAACCCTTATACACTGTCACTATGCACGATAGAAACCTGAAAAGTGGTTACTGCATACTGGAGGGAGAAGTGCCAAGACTACATGTGCTACATAGACGCTGTTGTCAGCACTGCGCACGCGCGCACGAACCTTCCCATCGGGGTTCATGGATAGGTGCTTTTCTTGACTTGTGAAACAAGCGCGCCCGAAGTGGCGCGAAAGCACATGGTTAGGTGAATTGTCAGCACTGCGCACGCGCGCACGAACCTTCCCATCGGGGTTCATAGACGAGCGTGCTAAATCACTCTACAGTCGATCTTCGAGATTGTTCTAAAAGGGCCCCCGACGGTTGTAACCTACTTCAATCGATGTATTTTCGGACGCTGATTCCGAATCACCCCACATGACATAGGGTTAAAATGCTCCCCTGACGAGATATTGGCGAAAAACTGTCTCGATCACGTGATATGACCGTATAAGGAAGTTAGTCTAATTTCTCGTTAGGGTTAGGGTTTCAGCATATGTTTTTGTTAAGGATTGGGTTAGGGTTAGGGTTGGGATCAGATAAGAGGGTTAGGGTTTCGAATAGTCTTTCAGGGCCGGCTAGAGAACGGGTTGAAAAAGTCACGTGACAGTCGAGTGTAGAGTGATTAATCATCATCCGTTCATAGATAGGTGCTTTTCTTGACTTGTGAAACAAGCGCGCCCGAAGTGGCGCTAAAGCACATGGTTAGGTGAAGCAACGATCGACGAAGCAAGAATGCTAGTTTGCGGGGCGCGTCGAAGCGGCGAATAGAAGTCCTCCAAATAATACGGCTGCAAAGCTTACATTGAAGCAACTATTGTTGTAGCGTGATGTGTTACTGGACCGGGCCGCGCACTCAATTATGCTTCTCGCAACCACGGTGAGATGCGTTACTGGGCCTTGCCGAGCTGCGACGAATTGACATCGTCAATAAACAACTGTTATTTCAAAAATATTTGTTTTTTAACAGAGCAACGATCTCGATGGGTTTTACCTGAGGACCCCAGGCTATTATGTTGATTAACATAAAAGAATAAAGATTTGGCGGAATGACAGGCTGAGCGCGGCCCAGTAAGATGGGTTGACATCGTCAATCAACCGTATTATTTTCAACTGGTGTGTTTATAAACACAAAGCCTTAAATCGCCATCCCCCAATTTAAGTAAAATCCAAAAAAGTGAGAAACAGTAGATCTGAAAATTTAAAGAAATCAAATCACAAATATAATACAATTATACAAGCAGTATAACACAAATGGTTGCTTTTATAGTGCTCGATTTTACAGTATGGTATAAATTTTAGTTAAAATACGAAAAAAGTGCGCGGCGTGCAAATAAAAATATGCGCGGTGAACAAATTTTGTATTTCAATTTTTATTTCATGTTTGATGTTGTAGGTTTACAATCTACCAAAACGTGCGCCAAATTGGACTCGTCAATTTACAAAATTATTATACGAGTATAATACGTTAAATTCTATGCATATAAATTTAATTTGTTTCAAATATTAAATCGTTGACGAGTCCAACTTGACGAGCGTTTTAATATAGTTATAATAAGTTAGACGCTGCAGTCCTAATGCGCGGCGCTCTTTTCAAACTTCTTACATGATTGGGAGAAGAGCAAGCAATAAACAAGCAAGCTTAACATAAAGGCCAGGCATTAATTAACGATGTCAATTCATCTCAGCTCGGCGCGGCACAGTAGCGCATCTCGCCGATCTAGAGAAGCCTCATTTTACCCGAGGACCCCAGGCTATTATGTTCATTAACATAATAAAGATTTGGCGGAATGACAGGCTGAGCGCGGCCCAATAAGCCTCATTGAGTGCGCGGCACAGTAACGCATCGCGCTACAAGGCCAGGCACTGCTGGAAAGCTTGCCAGTTGAAACCAAATCACAAATAAAACTTTTTTAAATATTTCACACCGATTTTCAAATCACCTTATTGCATATGTCCTGACCATGGTTCAATATTACTGGGCCGCGCTCAGCCTGTCATTCCGCCAAATCTTTATTGAACATAATAGCCTGGGGTCCTCAGGTAAGGTTCAATACAGTTATACGGTACAAGTGTTGTTATTTTCTTTCTTTATGGACTTGCCCGGCGCGCGTTACTTCGTAGAAATTTAGACGAGTAACATCCGCCAAATTGCAAATTTAACTGAGTAAAAGCGATGTTACAACGCAAGGGTTCTTGTTGTAGCGCGATGCGTTACTGTGCCGCGCCGCGCACTCAATGAGGCTTCTCACAGGCTAGATCGGCGAGATGCGCTACTGTGCCGCGCCGAGCTGCCATGAATTGACATCGTCAATTAAGGGTTCTTGAAGTGGAGAAAAGAAGCTTCACACCTTTAGTTTTCTCGACTTCTGGTGGAATGGGTGGTGAAGCTGAAAGACTGGTTAAGAAGCTGGCCAGTAAGATGGAGTACCACACTGGCCAGAGGTACTCGGATGCTGTAGGATACATTAGAAAGCGCCTTCGCTTTGAAATCCTAAGAACAACAGGGATTTCTCTCCGTGGAGACAGAGGTGCGAGAAAAAACATTGTTGATATAAACAGTCTAGATCTTAACTTGGAGCCACAAGGCCAAGGGTAATTTTTGATTGTTTAGGAAACTTTTTTAATTCTTAAAGGGTAGATTTTATATAGGGTCATTGCTATATTATGTGTATATTGTTTGAATAATTTTATTTAAAAAAAAAGGCTAATTTTTTATGTTTAGAGACTCTAGATTAGGACATTACGTTTAGGTACATTTACTGTTTTATTTGTACTTTATTTATAGTTGAGAAATATTACATTTATATGTCAGTTTAATCATCTTAATTAGAATAACTTATGATCGAATTTACAGCTTTAATTAAACCCGTTTGTTTGAGTCAGACTAGATTAAGATCAAGGGAGATAACCACTTTGGTTATTGCATTTACATTATCCTGTTAATATTCACTGGTAGTTTTCATCAGTCAGTAGTGTTATTGGCAGTATTTCTGTACCATTTATAGTTTAAGCTGCTGCACAGTGGGGTTCGCACAGTGGTAGTTTTATAAACCTCTTTTAATCTATTGACCTATTATACCTAGTGGTAGTTTTACAGACCACATTTAATTTATTAACTTATTATACTTAGTATTTATTTTTGGTGACCGTATCACCCAGTTTTAACATTTGATAATTGTACAGTTTATTGACGACACATTGACTGAATGTTATTTTATATTCTAATTTATATACTAGATATTTTATTTATTTTCCAACAGACGACAACTTCCTGTTTTTTTCTTTCTATATTAGTTACTCATATCTCTTGTACAGACTGTTTTACAAGGACATTGACAGATGATACTCACATTAGGCATTCATTATTGAATCTAAATTACTTCACTCGCATTAGGTTTAGAAATTTATTCTCTGGTTAACAGATTTCAAATGTTTAATTAATTTGTAGTATGACAGTAAGGTATGTAAGAAGTTATTTAATTTTGCTTGGGCTATTATATTGACAATGATGATATGGAATTTGAATTTTATATAAATTTACACTATGTGGTTGGGGCATTTTGCATAGTAAATATGGTTACTACTCCTATATATCATATTATTTGATTGGTATTCGATTTCTGATTATTTCCCTAGGAATATGATTATTATATCTCAATTTGGCTTTAGGTAGGGTGCCCCGCTAAAAGAACTGGATTCTTCCAGGAAGCATCCCGTGCACAGAGCTTGGTCTACATATATATTAAATTATTAACCATTCATTCTGTATGTGCACGAAAATTTATTTCAATCAATTCAATCAAACATTGTCAAACATCCTTTTATATATGCTGACATAATTAGAGATCCACCTAGTATAGACTGTATGACTGACTTTTGTAAATGACTTCTGTATAATGATGACTAATTGTATAATAATGACTAATTGTGATATAATATGATAGTGAAAACGTAAAATGAATGGCTACAACAGGGGATTTTCATCTGATTGAGAGGGTTGTTACGTTGATTGACCTTGCGGTGGCTTTCACAACGCGTCCCCATTCTCCAACTCGCGCTGCTAGAGAGAGAGACTCCCAAGTTATATACCATAATGGGGGGGGGGGGGGGGGGGGGGGGGGGGGGGGGGGGGGGTGACATGTCTCCAATGTCTCCCGCACCTTATCTTTTCGAAAAAGACAAAGACATTGGAGACATTGGGGACATTAGGGACATTAGAGACACAGCTTTTGGAGACATTGGGGACATTGGGGACATTGGAGACATTGGGGACATTAGGGACATAAAATGGATATTAGGGGCATTGGAGACATTGGAGACACAGCTTTTGGAGACTCCTCCTCCTCCTCCTGATC